TCCTTCCTTCCTTCCTTCCTTCCTTCCTTCCTTCCTTCCTTCCTTCCCATGGAATATTATTTATGTGAGCATAGATATAAGAGAAGTTGTTTATTTTGTTATCAAATCTGTACAACATCCATTTCATCTGTACAACTCTGGACAGCTTACAAATAGAACATTGTGGATGAACTAACATATTTGCTAATAAGCAGGATTTTAGATTAGAGGAAAATGGATCCATGAAATTTTACTGAAGAAGGGGAAAATATTAGAGGACTTTTAAAAAAGTACTAGAACGTTATACATTTTGGGAAGAAATGTGAAAATTATACTCAATGTTTTGGAATTAAATATTTGAATTTCATCTCAATTGTAAACAGTGAAGGGAACACAATGGCTAACCTTGCAATTAAGTTTCGTGTATAATTTGCTTCTTTATAATTTTCTACAGATGTTTGATCTGTCGCCTTAGGGAATAAATCCTATGAATGATGGCAAAGTAATGGGTTCCATAAGAAATGAGCCTGAACATGAAGGACTGTAAAAACACAGTTCATTTTAAAGAAGGAGAAAGGCAGAGGAAACAGCATTTATATATTACAGCAAATAACACAGCTTATAGCATTTGCTATGATTCTGAATTGCTCTTACATAGTACAAGGATAAGCATGTTTAGTTTTACTCTATTATGACCTCTGATGATCTGTAGCACTCAGAATTCCAGAATAAAATGTGGATTTGAGAGGACAGAAATAATTCCTGCACATGTAACCTTGCAGTAATGATACTGAATAATAATGACTTTTATTTATTGTACACTGCCCAGAGTCCCTCTTTGAGGGAGATGAGCCACTCAGAAATACAATGTATGGAGAGGGTAACATTATTGGTTAAAGTATAACATTCCTTCAAAGCTGCTGTATGAAGCAAGTCTAGGAGTTGAGGCAAAGCCAGTATAAATTTATTTATGTGGGGAACTTCACTAAGGCAAAACAATGCTGCTCTTCCATCAAACTATTACTTAAATACCTTTGAGTCCAAGTGATGTCTGCCTTTTCTGTGTGTAACAATTGTATAAATACTATCAAAAATGCATATTGCTGGCAGGCTAGGAATTCAGATTGTGGTTGAACAAAATTCATTACCATTCAGAAACCTTTATTTGCATTATCTATCAGGACAGACATAACTCTGCCATAGGGAGTTACTTTTTGCTTCAATGATATTTTAGGACAAGAAAGGATAATTTGGCAAGAATAGCCATTGTGTCACCATTTATTATATCTCTTCTTGCATGTATCCTGGTTAGAATTTGCTGAGTAGCAGTAGAACGTACAGCCTTAATATATAGCATACAAACCTTGGGATTTCTGTTCACAGTGATCTCTGTGTGGTAGAGCATGACTATTTGCCCTAAATGGGTTAAATTCACATAGACTTCCAGACAAGGATAGTGAAAAATATCTTTATCCTCAGAGCCTTCAATGAATGAACAATGGACTTTTTCCTTGATGTTAGCTCTCACTACATTGCATTCACTTTCATCAGCCCAGACACTGCAGAGACAAATTTATTAAGAATTTATGCATTACTTAAGCCTGATAATACATAAATATCTGTTTTTGATATTGTCAACACAATGTGTTGTGTGAAAAATAGGGTGAGATAAAACAGTATTAAAATTCTATTGTCCATGTGAGTAAAGGCAAATAGCAATCACAATAGCACTTGTACAGTATACTGCTTCACAGTTCTTTACTGCCATCTCCAAGTGGTGTACAGAATCAGCATATTGCCCCCAACAATCTAGGTCTTCACTTCACCAACCTCAGAAGGATGGAAGACTTAGTCAACTTCGAGCCAGTCAGAATTGAACTGCTGCTAGTGGACAGAGTTTGCTTGCAATATTGCATTCTAACCACTGTGCCACCATAGTTCTTATGTAGACTTTTAGCAAATGCTATGGCAAATACACACACACACACACATTGTACATTATATTTCATGATTTTGAGTATGCTTTTTCCATCATCTGGTAGGCCAATAAAATATCAACTCTTTAAATAATGTCTGTGTTTTCAGAAATGCACTTGGTTTAGTCTGTTGGAGAAATTTATACATGCATTTTTGTGATCCTCTTAATATATGGAATTTACACAATAATTAATATGTTTCTTTAGGGTGACACAATCATATTTTTAAAAATCCTACATTTATTACTTTTATAAATGATTCAAGGTGGCAAACATACTTAATACTGCTTCCTCCTATTTTCTCCACAACAACCCTGTGAGGTTGGGCTGAGACAGTGACTGGCTCAAAATCACTCAGCTGAACTTCCTGCTTAAAATAGGACTAGAACTCACAGTCTCCTGGTTTCTAGCCTGACGGTTCAACCACTACACCAACCTGGCTCTCCTGCTTATTTAATTAAGATTAGTAAAAATTGAATAGAAAGATATTTCAAAACATCCATGTTAGAGAAGTTGATGATTAAGTGATTGGAATTAGTTCAAGGTTCCTTTTCACATTCATATCAGTTTGGAATAATGCAGAAAGGAATGTTAGTTCCTAATAGATTTGATGGCTCATGTGGACATAGGAATGGTCTGTACAGAAAAAAACAACATACCTGGGATCCCATGGTGCCTCAGGATAAAATCCACAGCAGTTTAGGGATCTCTAACTCTTAACATAGGAAGCAGATTTCATGCAGTTGCAAGGCATCAAATACCTCTTTGGTTTTGTGAACTAGAGTGACTATAAGTAAAAGCTGAAAAAAGCACAATCCATCCATCCATCCATTCATCCATCCATCAGAATAGAGTTGGAAACCACCTTGGAGATGTTTAGTCTAAATCTCTAAAGCAGGAAATACTGTATCATTTCAGACCAGTGGTTGTTCAGTCTCTTAAAAACTTGCAGTGATGAAACACTCACAACTTCTGACAGCAAGCTGTTCCACTGTTTAATTGTCCTCACTGTTAGGAAATACTCCCCTCTTTGTGGCAGCCTCTCAAATATTAATATACTGCTATCATGTCACCACTAGTCCTTCTTTTCTCTAGACTAGCCAAACCCAAATCCTGCAACTGTTCTTTATATGCTTTAGTCAGGGGTGGGATTCAAATTTTTTAACAACCGGTTCTGTGAGCGTGGCTTAGGTGGTGGGTGTGGCTTGGTGGTCATGTGACTGGGTGGACATGGCTTGGTGGTCAACATCACTCACATCGAGGCAAGCATCTCCTCGCCTGGCCTTTCATGACTGTGGGGATGCTGCAACAGTCATAAGTGTGAAAAATGGTCATAAGTCACTTTTTCCAGTGCCATTGTAACTTTGAATGGTCAGTCCACACAAGCAAAGTACCAACAAAGGAGGGGAAAAAAACTCCAGAGAAGCTCCGGAGACAGGAAGTCTAGTCCTGCCAAGAATGTAATAAGGGTTAACAGAGAGGCAGTTTCTGTAAGCAACACCAGAATGTTTCCTTCCTGCCTTCCTTACAGGATTAGGCCAGTAATTTCTTCTAACAACTGAATAACCAGAATTCCTGAGCTAACATGACTGGAGGAGGAATTCTGGGAGTTGAAGTCCACAAGTCTTAAAGCTGTCAAGTTTGAAGACCCCTGGTCTAAGAGATTGCTAACCTGAGGTCACCTCTTTTTGCCTTTGTTCTCAACACATACAAGGGGAGCCCGTGTTCTAGGATTGTGCTTCTGCTAGGACACAGCTTGCAAGGTGCTAGGTTTTGCCTATCCTTCTCGTCTATTTCCTGCAAATAAATCACCATTGTCAGATCAAATTCCTGCTGCCAGGAATGCACTCTCTCTCCCTCTCTCTCTCTCTCCCTCCCTCCCTCTCCCTCTCTATCTCCTTCCCCCTCCCTCCTTCCCTCTTCCTCCCTCTCCCTCCCTCTCTCTCTCTCTCATTCTCACACACACAAACACATGGATTCATTCCTCCCCTCCCCTAGTTCAGATATCTTTTTGTCATTTCATCTTTCTCTTATTTTCTCTCTTTTTGCTTTTTTTTTTTTGCCTGACATGGAGGATAATACACATGGAGGTGGATTTCTTTATCTGATATGTGCAGATAAGGATGAATCAGTTTTGTTAAATGGAGTATTTTATTTTACATGCAGTCTGTTTGATTAGTAGTTATTAATTTAATTAGTATTAATTTACTTTTTTGTCCATCACATATACTCATCTATACATACAGTTTATATTATGTATATAAATCTCACATAGGGATTTAATGAGGCAGCTTTAATGTTGTTATGCTTGGACTTTCCTCAACCTATTGTTGCAAGTCAGCCTTGGAGAAAAAAGGATGAAGGAGAAATCCTGGCCCAGTTATACTGTTGCCATACAAGTACGGTATTAAGTTCTTAACTATGAAAGAAAGATTTATAATTCCTGTGTTCTAGAAGCAAAACCTTCTTCCATTTAACCAAAACTTCTTCCATTCCACAGCTTCCAGTTTAACAATTTATGTTTCAGCTTTAATATATTAATGAACATTATTTATTAAATGCTTTCTGAGTACAATAGATTTTCCATTTTGAGAGGCATGACATGTTCAGAGCTACGTGACATCAGATTCATTTGTATAATCCAGCTAACCATTCAATGGAGAGGAACATGCTCTCTATTGGTATCATTCTTTTCCCCAGCATTTTAAAGGGACAAATGATGCATAAAAACAGATTAGTTTAGTTTCCCCACGTCTGCAAAATTCTGAGAGGAAATAAATCATGGAAATAAGGCATACATTTTGTACCTACACATCCCACAACTCAGAAGAAAGACATTTTCCAGTCTTTCCACTAAGCAAATGTCTTATGCTAAAGTTGGGAGTTTTTTTAAGCTTCCAAACTGACTCACTTGCTGCTTGGAAATCTACATATTTTTTTTTGTATGGCTTAAAAAATAATGTTTCTTTTACCTTCCTCTATGTAAAGGCACCAGGACGATACCAATAAAAAGATACATCAGTGATGAGCAGGCCATCATTGCCAAACCTAGCCATAGGGCCTTGGTCTCCCCTCGTTTCTGTGCTGCCACCACCTTTTTGTGTAACATGACTTCTTGGGATGCTTCTGTGGTTCTTATCTCTGCATAAAATATAATAAAATCCATTAGGTTTGCTTGTATGATAGCTCCACTAAAAGTAAACTCATCCTTTTCTTAGAGATTGCATATAATTTGGTTTAATATCATTAATTACTTGCTTTCCAAAAATAAAAACTTGAGAACAAGCCCAATCTTGCAAGGTATACAATAGCATTTACTTACATTTTCAAGGGTAATATCAAAAACCACATGTAAGATGCTCAGACCAAGCTTTTCTTTTTCAATAGGAACAGTTTACTGTTTCATTTGTAAATGCTGATGGATTTTTTCAGCCAAAATTCTAAATTTCATTTCCTGAAACTAGTGGTTCTTGTCCCATGCACAGATTAACACAGACTAGCACTTGAAAACTATTGCATTCTGTAACATGGAAATTCAACATTGCTTGGCTGAAGACTTTGCTTTCTGGCTAACCTATAGTAATATATGGTGAGATAAAAACAATACTGAAATGTTCAAGGTATTATGAGTATATCTGAGTTAATAATATTCATCTCAAATAAAATGAAAGTTTATTCTTTGGGGATGGAGTGGGGAGAGGAATGTTCCAACTGACCAAGAGAAAAATTGAAATGGAGAAGGTATTTGGCCCATTTTCCCTGACAGCCATGTTAAATGCAGAAAAAGTTGACAAATTTGCAATGTTCAGCTATGCTAGAGATTCAGTTAAGCATGGATGTAATTAATATGCAAAGTTCTGTTATGCATTTTCTTCTTTTTCTATTGATAGGCAATATATGTGACTCTCTTCCCTATCCTCTTTTGGTAAAAAACAGCTTTATAAGTGTTTTTGCAGAGCTGTAGCAGGCAGAATGAAGTTCTCCTTTCCCTGTAGTCTGGTTTTCAGGAATTTGTTTATAAGTTTGAAAGGAAGACAGATTTATTTGAGAAGGGCTTATCAGTGATGGTGGGGTTGGTGACAGGGGCGAGGTTATGATTCATTTTACTTCACCCTCAGGCTCTCCTTTCAATTGAATTGCAGTCTTGTGCAATCCCCCAACTATTTATAACAATCCTTGGAGAGTGTATTTGTAAAGTCTATTGCAGCTCAGATACCATGTAACTATGCCATTTGGGCCTGCTGTGAAAGGAAGCTAGACATAATATACTTCTTAATGGACACCCTTGAATAACTTCCAGTATAAGGTACTATGAACCTAAAATATGTCAGCTTCTTTTCTAAGTACAGTGCTATGCTGAGCACTTCTTCCATATTATTTCCCCATCAATTCTCTCACAGGCTGCTAGATAATAAACTGCTTTCAAATTTTAATACAGTTCTCATGTATTCTCAAGTCCAGGAGTTTGGAGCTTTAGATTCCCGAGCTAAATTGATAGGAAGATGAGCATGGCTTTAAAATTGGGCAGGGGAAATTTGATAACTTGTGGCAAGTTGATGATGCTGTCTGATAGCTCAAAGTGCAAAGCTCTAGTAATGAGAGTTAAGGAGCACAGAGAAGAAGAAAAATGGGACAAAGATTAAACATGAAGAAGACCAAACTAATGATCACAGATGTCAGCTTTAAAATTCAGCTGCCACATTTTTTTTCCTTTTAGAGAGTTGCAGGAGTTGAAAAGTTCAAGGTTATTCTGTATGTCGTATTAAGTAATTCCAGTGGCAGTTAATTGGTGCTCGTGATTTATGAAGTGTAGAAGTGGGAGGAGATAAATAATTTCACTTGGGAAATTGCCTTTGACATGCCAGATCTGTTCTAATAAATTCAACCTTGGAGAGAGATGTCTTGGAGTTATTGATATCATGGATACCTTCTGGATGCCTTACATTTATTTCCCAAGTCAAAAAAAAATTTTTTTTTTTAAAAAAGGGCTTGGTTGATACCCAGAGTTCTTTTTCCTGAGATGGAGAATTATCAACAATCAGCCGAAGTTGGAGGTATGCAGGGGGAGAGTATGGGGGCGCTCCCTCCGGAACATTAATTGAATCTGCAAGCCTTTGTTTGGAGGAGATGATGGATGCTTCCAGAATGACAGTAGAGGAAAGAGGTTTGGGAGCTATACTGAACCGTTTCAACTCAAGAAGTTGTTATAACCCAGAGGTAACCCAGCTGGTTGAAGATAAATCTGGAGCCCCAGGCAGATTGCTATTCTGTCTGATTGGAGGGAGGAGACTATACAGATGCCAGTTGGAGGAAGCCAGAAAGACGCCTCAACTGATAGAGGTATGTTGCAGCCTTCGAGGCAATCCCCTTATTTTCCAGAGGGAATTTTGCCTCCTGCAGAGAGTATCCCTCCAGGGTGGGGATTTTATCCAGGCCAGGGGTGGATTCAGTGCCAATGGCAGCCAGCACTAACCCAGCCCTGGTCTGAAGGAGGGTTGCCCAGATAACAGACAGCAGTTACTTCCACTCCACCTGACCAGGGAACCAGGCTACACCCAACTTCCTCCTGACCACCACAAATGCAGCCCCAACCAGCAGCAAGGCCACAGGGACCCCTATTCCAGAGAGGCACCACCAGCCAGGATACAGGGGGCCTACCCAGCTTACGTATGCCACCAGGCTGATTTCTTTCATTCCAGTACAACCTGCAGGGGCCTTGCCTGTGCCACCTCCACAACCACGACCCAGGCCGGACCAAATACCTTTTGAGGCCATATTCGATGGCCGCCATGAACATTTCAATTACTTCCTCACTCGAATCCGATCCCATATAGAACAATTTGGAGATCAATACGCCACAGAGAGTGATTTGGTTATGGCCATAACAAATGAGATGAATGAAGGGAATGCTTCAGACTGGGTGGCCCAACTACACAATGAACAAGCCCCCAAATTACGCAATGTAAATGGATTTATTCAATTATTAAGATTCTAATTTGAAAATCCAGACAGGGGAGCAGAAAATGAAGAGAAGTTAATGGAAATGAGGCAAGGCAAGCGACCCTTGTCAGAATTTATTTGGGACTTTAGAAGGGTCGCAAGCCACCTCATGGATTGCCCTGAAAGAATGACTACACTATTTTAAAATTGCCATTGATCCAGAAGTAAAGAAGGCCTGTGAAATTAGGGGAATCCCAGAGACCTTACAATCGTGGTATGTTGCATACCTCAGCTTAGTTCACAGCATCAACCCACACAGGAAACCCCTTCCAGCAGCCCTGCCTAAGAGAATTGTGGCTAGGAGACTGCTGACCAGATCAGCTGAACCTGCTCGTACCCAACCTACCAGAGTGCTGAAATATTATCGATGTGGCCAAGCCGGCCATAGAGCAGCAGACTGTCTGGCCCCTGCTCCTGTACCACAAGCTCCACAGTCAAAGTCTAACCCAGCTGTTAGAGGTCAGAAGAATCAAGAAAGACCTCCGACCAGGGGTGGGTTCGCCAAACATAGCTGGGAAAGCCCCCTCTGCACAGATGGAAGCAACAGACCACCAGACTGCCACCATGTCCCCGAGAACCCGACCTGCAAAGATGAACCAATGGTGAGTGATCCCATCATACCTTTTACAGTCAAGGTCAAGTTAGTGGTACCAAAAACAGGGGAGGCCAGGGAATTAGACGCTGTCATTGATACTGGGTGTTCTAGATGCCTTATCGGACTCCCCATCATTGAACAATTGGGCATAACGACTAACCTGCTAAAATGCCCAATCAGATTTGAGCAAGTGGATGGAACCTTAATTGGAGGGGCCCCCAGCCACTCAGATGGCTGAATTGATCAAGATGGAATTAAGGTGCCATCGCGAACTCACACTTCATAGTGGCGTCCAAGATGTCAGAATCAATCATACTGGGACTTGCTTGGCTAGAAAATGGGCCCCAACGATCAAATGGGAGGATGGATTCAGAAAAATCCTCATTGGACCGGGCCCATTGCCCCCTCTTCCACCCACTACAAAGCCACCGGTCAGCTTGAACCCAGAGCCTGAGCCAGCATCCATGGCATCCTACCTTCTCCCAGATAACCCCCAGGTACCCGATCAATACAAAGACTTGGCTGAAGCATTCAGTGAAGAACAGTGTAATATTTTACCTCCCCATCAAGCCACTGATTGCACCATAGAATTAGAGCCCAGGACGAAACTACCAAAACCAAAGATGTATTCCATGACGCCTGCTGAAATGACTGAATTAAGGAAGTACATTGACAGCAATTTGGAACGAGGTGTTATTGAGCCTGCCAAATCAAGACTAGCTGCCCCCGTGTTGTTCAAGGAGAAGAAAGATGGTGGGTTGATATTGTGTGTTGACTTTAGAGGTGTGAACGCCATATGCATCAAAAACATGTACCCCTTATGAAGGACTTATTGAACCACTTGTCGAAGGGCAAGATATTCACCAAGCTAGATCTCAGGGAAGCTTACTACCAGGTCTGTATCAAAGAAGGAGATGAATGGAAAACTTCTTTTAACTGCCCTCTGGGTAGCTTCCAATTCAAAGTCATGCCTTTTGGACTTCAGGGGGCTCCTGCAGTGTTTATGTAGGTCATCAATGAGGTGCTACACCCGCACCTTTACCGGGGGGTCCTCGTGTACCTGGTTGACATCCTTATCTTCAGTGAAACCATGAAAGAACATGTTTAATTAGTCTGACAAGTTCTAGAAAAATTTCTAGCTGCCAAATTATATCTGAAACTCTCAAAATGCAAATTCCACAAAGAGTCGTTGGACTACTTAGGCTACTGAATATACAACCTGGGGATTGAAATGGACCCTGGAAAAGTGAAAGCGGTGCTGGACTGGCAGCCCCCAGAACCCAAAAACAACTTCAAAGTTTCTTGGGGTTTGCCAACTTCTATAGACAATTCATTCCATCCTTTGCTGAAGTTGCCCTCCTGTTGATGAAGCTGTTAAAAACGGGCCCATCGCCCACCAAACGAAAGCCAAGTCAACCCCTGGCTTGGACTATGGACTGTCAGAAAGCTTTTGAGGCCTTTAAACGCCTTTTCACAGCTGAGCCCATCCTCCAGCACCCAGACATGACCAATCCTTTTATTGTCCAAACAGGTGCAAGTGATGTAG